TGTGGCATTATTCAGGTGGTTTTGGCACCATGTATCCGGGACTTCAATACCATAATTCGAACTGAGATGCAAATGAATATGTTAACCTAGACTGTCATGTCTAATAATGTATTCTTTCTCAGCAAGGACTGGGCACCCTGGATACGATAATTTTCTATCTATCTATCTATCTATCTATCACACACACGCACATACTCTCTTTTTCTTTCTCTCTCTCTCTCTCTCTCTCTATATATATATATATATATATATATATATATATATATATATATATATATAGGAGAAAATAATGACCTAATCAAGATGTTGACATTCCACACTCAGTAAGTTTAGTGCCATACGTGATACACGCTTGGGCGCTCATATCAGATCGATAATTACTAAACTGTCATCTGTATACAGCCGCTTTCTAGGATCAATGGTCAAAAATGAATTTGAGCGAGTGAAGCCTATGAGTTTTGGTGAAGACCAGACATTTTTTTCATTCATTTCACCCCAAGCAAGGTGTAAATGCCACTGTCATGCAGGGAGGGTTACAGGGAGTGAAAAGGAGAGAAAAGACTGAGGAAAGGGCAAAACATGAAGAGGATAGAAGATGACGATTGACGTTGCATTTAAATTTTTGAAGATTGTCAACTATATGACCTGGAATATAGAATTGTACCATGTATCCAGGACTTCACTATCATAGTTCGAACAGACATTCAAATGAATATGTTGACCTATCCTGTCATGTTTAATAATGTATTCTTTCTCAGCAAGGAATGGGCACCCTGATACAATGTGATCAACCCCTTTATACAATTTATGGCCTACGCGACGATTTGAATGATCTTTGTTGATGTTAGCCTTGCAGACGTTAGCTAGAAGACATTCATCTTGTGCTGCCATGATAAGGCCAATATCCCACCTTAAGAACACTGCCATTGGCGGGTTTGGCGAACAGCGAACATGTCTTGTTCATCCAGATGCTTTGGGTACTTTCCATACAAGGGTTTATATCTCTATTTTTGTCCCGGGGTCTTCATATAAGCAGCTTTTGACAGTAACATATTCTTTGCTGCAGCGGTGAGAGGTTCAGGATGTTTGTCTTCTTGAACAGTTAGTACATCTAAGGAGTTTCATATTTCTTGGCTTTGTTTAACGATGGAAGTGTTCTTAATACGCTCATGCTTGAATACAGTCTTAACATACTTATCTCGTGTCGTTTCTAAGTATTTTGCTCGGCCCGTGATTTATGTTTTAAAAGATATTTCTAACTGAATGAGTCTATGTCCACCAGCTTTCCTAGGGGGGGATATTCTATCAGAATCAGCTTTTGGGTGGCGCGTGCAATGGTTAGTCAGTAGCTTATATATTTTGGAATCAATGCATGTTGTATCGCTAAAGCTCTATTTTAGAACGCCAACACTGATCTATCTATCTATCTATCTATCTATCTATCTATCTTATTACCAGCAAATTTATTGTATCTATTCTATTCGGTGAATTTAGTTCTGACTGATCTACTAAACGCACTTCACAATAACATTTTCTTTTCCTTCATTTAAGCGTTGCATACTATTTCCCTCTTGAATACCTAAGTGTTTGTAAACTACCTCATGCTGTAGGTGTTGCATACTCACCTCGTTCTGGGGGAGACTTGGCCACTGCGCCAAATAACCAAAATGTTGTATAACTCCCTCGTTCTTGGGGGGTCTCTTAGTTAACGGTCTTGAGGCGATCATAATAAAGTTGTCTTTCTTTAGAGCACAGTTGGCCTTAAGGAAAATATTTAAGAAAAGTTATCCCATTTTGACCGGAGGGATGAAAAATAAGGCTTTTGTCACATTAACCTTTTTGGAAGGACTGGATATTTTGAGTAAAGGTTGTTCGGCCATGACAAGAATTTAAGCTACACATATCTCCGAGGCCCACATCTTATCGTTACGCATCCAGCGACTCCATTCATAATCCGAACTGTCTTTTCATTTAATAAAGTTTGTTAATAGTTTATCCTTTCGTTCCATCTTCTTATCTTTCTTCACACAACCACATTTCATCCCCTGGGAACATAACACTTTCTCTCTTTCTTCTTTCAGTCGGGTGATCGCTAGTTGGTTTTTAGTTCGGAGGTAAAATAAGAACTTCAACAAAAGGGATTTAAAACGGACCTATTTTACTAAACACCTCGATGTGTACATCTTTTAACTGGCCGGGGAGGGGATGCTTTATCATCCCCATTGGAGAGCAAGTTTCGTACACGAAAATAATACGTCTACATTCATCGACGTGTAAATTATTAACTCACTGGAATCACTTTCTATCGCTCTAACATACCCACGTTCGGCTCAGCCAATCAAAATCGACATCCCTATTTTGTCTACCATCTGACCTTAAAGATCAGCCTCAGAAGGTCTGAGTAAAAATACATTGCCACTACGAAATATAATAATCTGAAACTATTATTTAACATAGTTTCCAGATGGAGGTGTAAATGTCTAGCACTCTATTACTAGATTTAACAAATTTCCCTGCTTTAAACGTTGCCTTGGCAGATTTGTTCTGACCAAATTCCATTCCAATTTCATCACTAAAATCTTTTACTATCTCCAGTATGGATTTCAGATCGTTGTCATTTCTAGTGTAAAGCTTAATGTCACCCATGTAGAAGAGCTTGTTAATGGTATATTTGTAGATTTTGCAGTCCCTATTTGAATCGTTGAGAAATTTGCACTGGGGGGGGGAGCAAGACAGAAAAGGAACAGTGAAAACGAATTCCCTTTGTATATCACGCGGTTGATGCTTATACTATTTATTTTAATATCACCGTTTATGTGGGTAAGTATGAAAGGGCGTCTTCTATGCATGCACAATGGTCTTAAATTCAATTATTATGTGTGAAATTTTATAACTCTCTAGAGCTTTTAATAGTCCGGTCATGGGGGGGGGCATTATCGATATCTTTTGTGTAATCTATCGAAGCAGTTCTTAGGTTTGTACATTAATTCTTACAGTTTCCAGTATCATTTTGTTTATCAGGAGTTGATTCTTGCATCGATATGACCCTTTTTTTACGTTCCTTTTCTTCTCCAAGAAAAAGGTTTTCTTCCAGGAATAACTAAGTCATGTTGGCGATTATTGATGTCAGGATTTTCTTTTTTACGTCGTAGGCACGTGATAGGCCCGTCATTTTGAGGGATCCCTGTCTCGGATAGTTTTGGCAAGAAGGTAAGTTAAGCCGTCACTTAACTACAAGGATGATGTCTCAGGATTATTCATGATCTCAGAGTAAATATCGACCAGTGCATTATGGAAACTTCGTAGAGAGTGCAGCCAAAAATTGGGAACTTTGTCCATCCCAGGGAATTTGCGCTTTTGGGGCATTGCTTGAGCTGATCTAACTTCCTCTGTATTGATATCTGACCAATCTTGTGTTTCCAACATAGATTCCTAGATTCTTGGTCACCTATTCGATGTGTACCCACGTTAAAGCGTTCAGGTTCACCCCAGATGTTTTCCCAAGTTTTCTATTGAATCTTACGTTGGTGGGTTGTCAACTTTATTGTAATGTTGCTCTTAAAAAGTTATTTGTAGAATTTCTTGGTATCTTGTTCAAAAAGTTTGTTGTCTATAGAATGCAGAGTTTATTTCTATCTTGTCAGACGTTTGACCTTTAGCTGAAGACTTTGCTCAGGGATTTCATTTTGATTGTCAATGTTATCTCTGGGTAGATTATATTTCTCTTCAGTTTATTTCATTTGGGCTTTTGTTTGTTTGTTTGTTTGTTGTTTTTTTTTGTTGCTTTTTTTCGATTTGTGTTCCATTAAAAAGGAGATGCCAGCTCTAGGTTGGTTCATTTGCCCCGTTGAGTTTTTCGACCCACATTGGCTTTTCATGGACATTCCTTTTTTGTTTTTGCTTTCTTGGCTTTCGGTCCGCATTCTGGAGGTGCTGCGGATGCAGCAGAATATCTTGGGTTATTTAGAGCAGTCAATTTATCTTCTTGGTATGCGAGTATATTTGGGATGAGTTTTTCAACGGATTTATTTACCTTTAATATTACTGCTTTATTTTTGTTGTTTTTCATCTTCTAGTCTTTGGTATGACGATAAACTACATCCGGCAGCAAGGCCTCTGATCGGGAGATTAGCGTTTTTGAGGAGCATGGAACCACCTGCTAATTGCTATTGTTCCCAGATCCAACCTAACCCGGGGTGGTAGAACCTGTTAGGGTCCAAGCTATGGGCAAATAGTGAACCCCCCCAAACAAAAATCAATATACTAGGAAACTATAAAAATACAGTTTTATAGTGAAAATACCAACAATACATTTTTATATAGTCAAATTACTAACAATGAATATTTACAGTAAACTGACCAACATTTTATAGTAGAATTACCAGCAACACATTTTATAACAAAATGACTAACGATACATTTTATCTGTAGTTGTTATAGTGTTCAAAATACTTAGATTTCGGCTTGAAATGACCCATAAAGGTGTTGATCTGCCACTAAACAAAATCAACCAACCAATATTTTATCTTCGGTAAGGATGGTCTGTCATAAAATGATTGACAAGTGATGATTAGGTACTAGTTATTATTATTAATATCTATCTATCTATCTATCTATCTATCTCACTCTATACATATCTATCTATCCATCCATGGTGATGGCTACTTGACTGGTCCTAATATAAGAGCAGCGCGTATGTGGCTTTTTTTTAATTCCTGCAAGGGAATTACTTTCTCTTGTGTCGCTGTCTATCTATCTATCTTCACGACTTTAAATGCAATGTCAATCGTTATCTTGTCTTCTTAATCTTTGTTCTTTTATTGTTTTCTCTCTTTAATAGTATTTTCTTATATTCTCTAACACTCAGTAACCCCTTGCGTCTTAGTGGCTTTATTGCTTTCCTTGGGGTGAAATGATTTAAAAAAAAAATCCCAGTTATATGTACTGACATTTGCAAAATTCAGTGATTTTTTCATATTAGCCTGAATACGCGTACACGATCACATCTGATTGCGTATCGATTTGTTAGGATCGGCTGTATAAATGGACAAAAATATAATATAAAAGGAGAAACGAAAAAGAAAAAAAACGTTTACATTCCTATTTTTATAACGTTCTGAGTTATCACGAACTACGTCTGTCTTGTTCAATAATGTGGAATCTATAGCTTTCTTCGTTTCAAATAATGGAACCCCTTTTTTTTCGGGCTGCTGTGCATCGTCTTAAAAATATAAATCTAGACAAAATATTAGCCAAAATATTCGCTACTCTGTCGCTATTTCCATGTCAAATCCTCAGATGAGCTCTACTCATCCTTTAGCCCCACTGGTTCAGACTTTTACAACTAGAAAAACACCATGCCACTTCCACGGAGTCGAATTAACCTCATTTTTCCATAATGTAAGAAGAAACTTCAACACCAAACGTTTTTTTTTTCCACCAAAACTGCTACTTCGTGGAGTAGACTCCCGTGGGGATGTTTCCCTGAACAATACAAACTTGATATCATTAAGTCATGAATCGGTCTTCGTCTTTCTTTCTTGTCCCTATAACCTCCATTTCCTAACACCTCTTCCATTCATATCACACCCATCCCGTATTATTATTTTGACTGTAAACCTCTGCTTTGAGTGGCTCTCGAGCTTTGTATTTGGTGAAACCTATTAAAACAAAAACACACATATACGCAATTTCATGCTGACTTGTTGGACGAAGTTGATACAATGTCACCAATCATGGAATACCTTTTAAGACAGAAAATGTACTTACTAGGAACGACTTGCGATATACGCACGTTAACTGGATTCTGCATTTATAATTCAGGTTAAATTCTTAGGAAAAATCTCTTTTATTATTATTATTTTTTAACAATTTGATCTTAGAGAGATTGACAATTTGACCTTATATAGCGGGTCAACTGAGTGACACTGATCCTAGACAGAGGATCAATTGAGTGACAATATGATCATAAACAGAGGACTTACTGAGTGATAATTTGATCTTAGGCACAGGCCCATCTGAGTGACAATTTGACCCTAGGTAGAAGGTCAACTAACACTTTGATCCTAGGCAGAGAACCAACTGAGTGACAATTTGATCTTAGGCAGAGGACTATGTGAGTGGGAATTTGACTCTAGTTAGAGGGCCAATTGAATGAATTTTGATCCTCGTGTATCTCTTCAATACCCATCCTTCTGTTCCAAATATAAATGCCGCCTGGAATTATCACACAGCCATACGTCCGTCCATATATGCACAATCTCCTTAAAAAAAAAAAAACATTTTAAGCGCGTGAAATGATTTTCGTTGCTCGCGTTTTGTTTTTTATCATTGTTGATTTATTTCTCACAATATTGGAAAGAAAACAGTAAGAAATAAATGAATAAATGGTGGCGAATAAGAAAGAAAGAGAAAGAGTCAGTGGATGAATGAACGATCTTGAGTAGAAAGAAAAAAAGAAAGAAAGAAAACAATAGAAAAAGGATAAAATGAAAGGAAATATAAAAAGGCAGCCATTTTTTAATAGAATAGCGGTAAAAGGTAAAAGAAATTTAAAACAGAGAAAATGAAAGAAAGAATAAAAATGTCAAAAAGGAAAGAAAGAAAATGTAAAAAGAAAAAGTCAAAGAAAGAATAGAGCCGGTAAAAAGAAAAAAAAACATACGAAAAGGTAAAACAAAAAGAAAAACTATAAAAAGAGAGAAAGAAAAACGAAAATGGCAGAAGACAAGCAAGAAAGAAAGAAAACAAACGAAAAGGGAAGAAAGTAAGCAAGAAGAAAGAAAAATTTAAAGAAAATAGAAAACAAAAAAAAAACGAATGGGAAAAAGAAACTTATATAAAGCCCATCTGTGAAAGCATTGTTAAAACAATGGTTGTCATGGACACGAGATTCGATTGTTGTCCTGACGAAATACAACCGTTGAGGAAAATTTAGGCGGAAAATTAACGAGGAAAATACGGCATGCCTGACGGAAGTGGTTGTCACAAGTTCATGCCTCAGTGCACCTTTGTAACTTTTTGCGAGTCTAATTAGAATACACGTGTGTGTGTGTGTGTGTAGTGATGAAGGTGCTGGCGGGTAAACTATTAACAAACTATTAACTATTAATTGTCGCCTTAAATAGAACTGATGATAGATAAAAAAAAACAAAGTGAGATAAATAGATACATACAGACAGACAGACTGAGGTAGATAAATATGAATAGACTGAGGTAGATAGAAATGAACAGACTGTGATAGATAGATAGATAGATAGATAGATAGATAGATAGATAGATAGATAGATTATTAGAGAGGGAGAGATAGATAAACATTTGATAATACAAAATGGAATTATCACCCTAAATAGAACTGATGATAGATATGAACAGGTTGAGATAGATAGATACATGATTACATATGATATAACAGACTGATATATATATATATATATATATATATATATATATATATATATATAGTATTCATTTGGAAGAAGGCTTAGCTGCTCGGATTGAGGAATCGGAGAGCCGAGTTCGAATTCCTGTCGAATCCATTAAATTCTTTTACGTGCTAATATACTTGGGGAAAATGTAATATACTTGCTTGAAAAAAATCTGCCTCGTCAGTCATGTATCGAAAGATACATGATCGCCTAAGCGTGTATCACGCATGGCACATAACTGACTGACTGAGGCTTTGGGGAACTCTTCTACTCTGTCCTGACGAGTGGCTACAACTATGTAACCACGAAACTTTGAAGTAAACATGAGTTAAGTGAAAATTTGTATATGTCTGTGTGTGTGTGTGCGTGCGCGCGCGTGCGTGTGTGTCTGCGTGTCTGTGTCTGTCTGTCTGTGTGTGTGTGTGCGTGTGTGTATGTGTAACATTCAGATAAAGGGTGTTTCATTAAGACGGATTATATATAAGGGTGTTTCATTAAGACGGATCAAAGTCAGCAGTAAATAAATCAGTATTATTGGTGAAAATTTATTTCTTTATTGGATCATGTTATTTAAGTCATGGCAATTATGTGTGAAAAATAATATCGCCCAAATGTCCGCCAAATTTGAAAGAAAAAGAAAAAGAAATCATTAGACGCTTAAACTTAATTCACATTTAAAATCGGTCCAATTTATTGTTTTTTTTTTTATAAATAAAATATATATCTGTAAAAAGACAATATGAATAAAAGATCTTTTGCACAACAATTTACCAAATGCATTAGTCATACACAGAAATAACTTCAACCACAACTTAGATCTAAGAAATGCCATTTAGACGGAAAGTTCTTGAGAATGCCGCTATCAACACTTGTCAAAATGTAAATCTGCGATCCGGAATTTTTCAAATATCTCCTTTCCTAAAAGATATACTTCTTTCCCAAGCCAACATACATGACCATATTATTTTTAAAATTAAAAGAAAACGGTTAAATAGAAACCTTCTATGATTTAAAATAAATAAATAAATACATAAATGATTCATCAAATTAAAATAAAATAATAAAAAATAATTAGATAATAATAAAAAAGGAAATAAATAAATATAAACAAATAATAAGAAATCAAAAATAACAGTATTTACTCATTTTCGCTTATTAGGCATTAGATTACATCATTAATAGTTTGCCTTGACCTTCACAGTTAACGTGAAGAATAAATTAAAAGATTTTCAAAATCTAACGGTGTTTTTACTTCAGCTCATAAATACAAGCTGCAATATAAACTCCTTACATTTACCTTGATAAGGTCCATCAGAAGACGAAACGCGTTGCTAAAGAATATTATTCCTTTTATTTTTTTTATTCATATATGGGAAATGGAAATTAAAGAAAGTTAAACAACTTTAGCACATTTCTCTCGTTCTTTAACATCAATACACGAAAAATTATTCGTGAATACGAACGGATTTTGTTAAAAATTAGCAGACATAAAGTCTGTAATTTATTCAATCAGACATGCCTAAAAGAGAATTTGTTGCCTAAATACACAAATTTATATATATTAAAATTTTTGTATTTAGGCAGCATATTTTCATTCAAACAGGTTTGGTTAAATATTTTAAACTTACTATGTGTGTTTATTTTTGTCTTAATCCTTTCGAGTCCGCAAATCTATTTATTGGTAGCCGTAAAAAATTGATTAGGAAAAATACCCAAATTTTCTTTCAAATAATTTTTATTTTCCAAAGTACTTTCAGTCTCATCTGAGACCCCCTTTAAGTTGTCTGAGTAAGTGTATATGTATTTCTGTAAATTCAAAACAAGGTTATTCACAGCCAGAAAATATTTTTAGATTGAAAGAAAATTTGGTTTAGGGATACAAGTTTTACTAATTAATCCATAGCTGGGAGGAGAAGAGGTGGATTCATACCTTTCCAAAGGGTATTTGCGCGTAAATCAATATAACGAACCCAACAGGGATTGGAACTCGGCTCCCCGACTAACAATTCCGAGCCATTACACCACCCGCACATCCAAGCTTACAGAATATGTAAAGAGAATGAGTTAGCTTTCGTAAATATGCTAAGAAGTTTTGAGATATTCTTTTTACAGATTCATTTTACTTCTTTCTTTTTTTTTTTTTTTCTTTGCATTAACGAGAAAACCAAAATTTCTGGAATGGTCACAGTGACCCGATATCGCTATACGCTTTTTTTTTTTTTTTTTATTTGCTGCGTCTATTCTACCGTAGTTTTATATTCCCGAGAGAGTATGTGAATGATTCTCAACTCAGAGCCAAAAAAAAAAAAAAACACAACTCCCATCTTTAATCATTTGGTCAAGATTTTTGGAAGTGAGTCGTAAATATAACGGCTGTTATGAGACATTAGTTATCTTAAGTTTTTTTGTTTTTTTTTTTAATCTTCGCGTGGTGGAAGTGCGGGTGATGCAATGCGAAATCGGAGAGCCGAGTTCGAATTCCAGTCGGATTCATTACATTCACTTACACCCAAATAACCATGGGAAAGTTATGAATCCATCTCCCCCAGCTATAGGTTAAACTGTTTGATTTATATATGGAAAAATTATTGTTATTTATTATCAAAAAACAGTTTACTCACAAAAAAAAGAAAAGAAAAGAATTATCCAATGTTTCGGTTTGAAAAAAACCTACAAATCAATCAAATATCTACTTGGATGTTTATTTATAAAAATTATACTAAAAAATCAAACTTTTTCTGCTCGGGTCGACATTTTATGATACACCCCATTGGTTAAATGCTGAATATTCGTCGTACGATCACCGGAGTTAAGCAATGCTGAGCCTGGTCAGTACCTAAATGGGTGACTGCTTGGAAATACTAGATGCCGTAAGCATGGATGTGCGAGTGGTTTTATGAATAATGGCTCAGAATTGTAAACCGGAGAGCCGAGTTTCATTTCCAGTTGGGTTCGTTATATTCACTAACCCTCAAATACCGTTGGGAGAGGCATGAATCTACCTGTCCCCGCCCCACAGTTATGTTTAATCAGTAAGATTTGGATCACTAAAACCATCATTATTCCAAATAAAATAAGTTTCGACATTAAATAATCCGTAGTGGTTGATATGTCGCTAAACAAAATCAACCAAATTGAATATTCGTTGTCCATGGTATCGTATGCGCTAATGACAATAATCAAGACCAACGTCTATTTCGAAATGTATCAAACTGTCTTTTCTCATGCCAATGGATCAATATATAAATATATATATAATAATAGATAGGAAAAGATAATAAGAAGGCATTTTTAAAAACAAAAGCCAAAATAAAACTACCGGTTTCGTCCCAGGACTTATCAAGTTATTTATTCTGGGAATTTAAATGCGTGTAAATTAATTTTAATTAACGAATGTAATTAAATGGGGAGAGAAGAAAAAAAAATTATGAATTTCAAGGGGACTAGAGTCCAATAATATTCAGACCCAGCAAGCATTCCCTCTGTTTACAAAGGGAAGGCTCACGAGATCTGATATACAAGGACTCTAGGACCTTGAGGTGAAATGTAGTGGGCCCTAGATAAAATAATAAATCGGTCACCACTAAAATTTTCCACACATTCCCTTCTATTATTTCAAATGTTCAGCAATGGCAGAACCAGAACTGTTAGTCAATTGGCTATTCCTAGAGGACGGATTTGAAAAATCCTGGAGGGTAAATGCTGTTTCATTCTCGAATCCAAACGCTAGGATAAATGTAAAAGATATATGTAGTCATGTCCACAACTACACTTGTATTGGTAAGGGTTTTAATATATAAATACTATACTATACTATATAAATATATAAATAGGCCGGAAACGTACAATAGAGACTGCGACCGGAAATTTTTTTTTTTTTTCTCTTTTTATTTTTTTCATATTACCACAGATTGATTAATATGTCAGATCACAAAAAGAAAAAAGAATATTTTTAATAGTGAGCTATTATTGTCATTGAAAGTAATAATAATAATAATAATAACAATAATAATAATCTTATATATATAAAGTACAGTGTATGTGTGTGTGTGTGTGTGTGTGTCCAAGCAACTCTTCCGCTCCCACTGGTCCGATTTCAATGATTCATACCTCATTCAAAAGCCCTAATAAAGTTAAGCACAAGAAACGATTTTCGTTGAGCCCTGGTTCAGAGTTGCCAGATTATGCGAGGTTAAAATATATCATACTAGCCATTATCGTTGCTTTCATAGTTCAAGGGGAGTAACTCTTATTTTCGTTTGTATCCAAAATTGCAGCTAGCTTAAAATTTTAAGTGTGTAACTTAAATCTTTTTGAGTAGGTACACATCTATTATCATCTCTCAGTTTGTCTTGTCTTTGGACAACTAACGCTCAGGGATTCTCTGTCAAAGGACAGAGAGGCAAATTAATTTTATGCCCAGAGATTGGGGAACAGCTGTTTCGAGGCATTCAAAATTTTAAAGTCTTCGTACCGAGGCCAGCACAACCATCTAGTTGCGGGGGCTGAGGAAATAAGAATTCCTTTCCAATTTGTATTAACTCAGGTTAAAATATAAAAATAGACCTTGTGTCACATCTCGTCCTAGTGGAGGGACAGAGTAAATTGCTATAATTGCGGCTTCTTAATATAAGAATTCGTTTGAGAATTGAGCATCTATTTTGCATTTCTTCATATAGATTCCATAATGTAGGTATTACTTAATTAAAGGCCGATAGAGCGGCTTTTAAGCTAGCTTAAAATTTTAGACTGGCTGCAATTTATGCAGTTTTAACTCCTTCCCCCCACTTGGACGAGTTATGACATAAGGTCTTTTTTAGGTGGGGGACCCAGGTGCGTACGCCCGGGAAAAGAAAAAAATTTCCCAGCCCCATCTTATTTTGCGCTGAC